TTGAAAAAAGTACCTGCATATCCAATGGCTAGGCCACCTTTGAGCAGCGCCTTGCTGCCTACCCGGTCTGTGTCAAGGCCTGGCCTCATCTCAGTCTCCACCGCAGTGTGCGAGGCACGGCCTTTATCTTCAGGAGAGGGCGTGGAGGCGTTGTGAGCAGGAGGACAAGCGTAAGGGTAAGAGTTAGGCTGCAGACGTCAGGGTCAACCCAGGAAGCCGTTTTCCCAAGTCATTCAAGAGGGATGAGAGAGAAGTACAAGTAGTTGATAAAAATTCAGTGTTCTAAGTGCTTTTCTGGGGTCCATGCACTTAATGTCATCTCATAAGCATTTGTCCCCCGTGTCATTTGAAAACATGTGAAATGAACAAGCTTTCAGTGAAGCCAGGCTTTCTTTGCTGGGTGATGCCCATGTTAGGACAGCCTTGGGCCCGAGAAGTGGGTGTCAGAGGCAAGAACTGCAGCCCACAGTCCGTAGCTGCTAACACATCACTAGCACATAGCTGATCACATCAGATGGGGGTGCCCCCAGCCTCCATGGACCAGTGTCAAGGCAGAAATGGGGGCAGCAGTAGACGTGAGAGCTCCGAGGTGTGCATTTGGGCTGCGTGAAGTCCCCAGGCCAGGTGCCTTGGCTGACAGACAGGAGCAGGTGTTTGAATAGGGATTGAGTTCATCGGTGGCATGATGGGGGTGGGGGTGCTGATAAGGGGGGACAGCTGGGCCATCGCTGGGGAGGGAGCCTAAGGCAGGCTGGACTCCGCCACCTCCTAAGTAAATAACCAGGGACTCCCAGGATGTTTCTTCCTGGGGTTCTCTCCTGCCTTGACAGAACCACGTGCTTTGGGTGGGTGAGCGATCAATCATTCATTTAAGGGCTGAAAGGGAGGCAAGAGGAGGCTCCATGCTACGAGGAGGGGGAGGAGGTGTTTGAGCTTGAAGCGGAGGCACGTGGATTCACACGCGGCCTTCCTGGAGAAGCAGGACAGGACCTGAGAGAAGGGTGGGAGTGGGAGGCGTGGGTGCAGGAATTTCCCAGACGGGCATTTCACTCAAGTCAAGGGCGAGA